TTAGAAAAAAGAAAAAAAAAAAACCCAAGATGACACTTTAATATTTCCCAATGAAGACTTTATTTATGGAATGCAATGGAGAAAAAAAAAACACAGCTATTTTGAAAATATATTTATATCTACGAAAAGAAGTTGGGAAAACAAATATTTTAATCAGAGAATTATTCCTTAAAGATTTTAAAATGTATTTAGTTGTACATTTTATATGGGTTCAACCCCAGCACATGAAGTATAATGGTCAGATTTATTTTGTATTTATTTACTATTATAACCACTTTTTAGGAAAAATAGCTAATTTGTATTTATATGTAATCAAAAGAAGTATTGGGTTTGTATATAATTTTCCAAAAATTGTAGTTGTTTTCAGTTGTGTGTATTTAAGATGAAAAGTCTACATGGAAGGTTACTCTGGCAAAGTGCTTAGCACATTTGCTTTTTTGCAGTGCTACTGTTAAGGTCACAAGTTCAAGTCCAGAAAAAAAAAAGTGGATAATCCACTCTGCTGACTTTCAAGATTATTATATTATTCAATTCTCAGGAATGTTGCAGAGTGGTTATCCAATCCATGAGAACTTATTAGGTGGAATATTTGGATAAGAACCAGACATTGCTGATCTAATATAGAAACCCTCCCCTCACCCCTTAATTTGCAGAAAGAATAAAGTAGGACCAATAGAAGTAATTAGGAAAATGATGAAGCTGCAGGAAAGTGAATGATGGTTTGTTGTTCTTCTTTCCTAAACTAGTGATCCCTTCAAAGGGGCTGATCTGGCCAAAGTATTAAATAAAACATAAGATTTCTTCATTATTGATATTGTGGTCATGTATAATTAAAATTGACATCCAGTGGCCCTCATGAAGAGTTGGAAATTGATTTGTATTAAATTTTTACCTCATCTGTGAGCTCTTTATGCTCAGAAGGACCTAATTTTCTAGCTTTGCCCAACACACAGCAAAATTGTGCCCATCATGTTTCCTGCCTACCCCCTGTCCTCTGTTTGATCAACTTACTTTTCTTTCCACAGTTGTGTGGTTAAACACATTTCTCCAAATGTTAAACCTGTTTTAGATAATAAATATCAGAGCTCTGGCATTTCAATCTATAAAGTCCAACCTGTAAGAGAAAATAGCGCGTTTTGTACAGCATTCACAGTGCTTACCTTGGGTTTGCATGTTTTGCTTCTGTAGTTACTTATTTTGGAGGGAGGTGGGGAAAAGGCAAGGAATGGTTGGAAATTTGCAAGCAGGTCCTTTGATAATTCATGTTTGCACCAAAGGAATTACCAATGTTTTTGTATTTCACATGAACCTCTTTGGAGCAGAAAGATTTAAGAGAAAACCAAAGCTACAAAACAGGCAAAACCTGGAGAACCCAAGATAAAGTTTCAGAGATGATATCCCGTGCAACAGAGGCAACGGTGCCAAAAATTTAGAAAGGGAAAGTGTCTGAGATCAGCTTCTACGAGGACATCTGCCAATTGGACTGAAGCCCAAGCAGAGTGAAGTCAAATTAGGCTGCTCAGATTGAACACTTACCAGTGGCAGGGCTTTTGTGTTCTGGGCTGAAGGGTTCGGTGGGTGGGCATGTTAGCACAGCCAGGGAGCCCACAACACCCCACTATTTTACTGCAAGTATTTTAGGTCAATTTCTAGGACTTTGTGCCACCTCTGACCCTGCTATGATTGGTAAGGCCTAGTTCTAATCTCCTATCCTAGCCCTGCCTTGGAATTGGCTGAAAAAAATAGTATATTCGTAATGGAACAGACTGTTATAATCAGATTCTTCCCAGGAATAAACTTTCGATGATCAGGGATGTTAGTACATTTGGGTGTGATAAGTTTAAACCTTGCCTTGAGATTATGTAGATCATATTTTTAAATAAATAACTAGTTATCTTTTATTCCTTCTACTTTTCCAATCTTTTAGTTGCTTTTTATCCTTCTCCCTATTGCCCTTGCATAGATGAGGATTATTACTATTAGAGCCCACTTCGAAGGGCAGGATTGGCTCTATCCTCCAGCCTTCCTTTACCATCTCTTGCCGTGGATATGAAGGACAGACTGCACAGCCTTAACATCTTAAAAAACAATAACCCATGTTTTCTCATCTCCAAATACTCTAGAGAGTAAGAGTATAGCACAAGAATTTCCATCCATTTGGCAGTTCCGTCCATTCTTTTGATTTCTCTGCTTTGCTGGTTCTGAGTTTCTCAGTTTAAGTGGTTTTCAGTGTTATCAACTCAAATGTGTTCTCTTGCATGTTTATATACATGTAAAATATATATAGAAATCCGTGTGTAAATATACATACATATACAATATGTAATATGTATAAATTACATATGAAGAATTATGTAATATATATTACATATGTATAGACGATGGCATTTTCAGTTTCAGTTTAGTTTCAGAGATTTTGTAATAGTGGACCCTATTGGAAGCTCATTTGAGAAACAGAATATTTTTACATTCTACGTTCTTACAGACATTTTGGCTCACGTTTTCATTCTGAGAGAAAAAAAAGTGTCACAATTAACCCCATGACACTAAATCTCTTGAATTTTCAGTCACTATTCCGTAGGAACCTTTGAATCCTTTTAGAGTTGGCATTTTAAAAAGTGTAGTCGTTTCTGAATTTTGGGGGCTCACATTTCAAAATTGATTAAATCGTGTCATATGTTTTTGTGCTTGTCTAGGCTGTGTCATGTGCCTTTCTGGCATGGTTTTAGCCTGTACAGCGGGTCTGTTCATTTTTTGACTTCAAAATTGGGAAGGGTAGGATGAGTGGTTTACACATTTATCTGCGCTTCCACCTTTTCATAATTCCTCCTCCAATTGTTACTTTAACTTGTACCTCAAAGAGGCCAAGAGCGGAAAGATGATCTGTAAATCTAATCTATGTCGCAAGCTACATAATCAGTAGATAATCTTAATGTTCCATATTGTTCTCTCAGTTTTTTTATTGGAGGAGGAAAAATCATTTATGCAATTCGAAGCACTTTTAAAAATTGTGTATTTCTACTCTATAGTCATAGTAATGTTAAAATATTGATTCACTGAATGTTAGATGCCACAGGCCCCAAATCTGTTATAAGGCACAAGGAACCTAGCCTTGCAGTAAATAACAATTTAAGTATAGTAAATAGTAAGTGTTACATGGAGTAAGAATGCCATGGCAGTATTCCTTTTCTGTCTTATTCTTTGCAGGGGGCAGGTAGAGTGAGATGGGGGATAAAATGCAAGTCTGCTTCAGTGGGGTAAATTGCTTTTCCGCTTTTCCTCCACCCTGCTGACATGACTTATAGCCTTATGGTATTCTCCAGGGCAGCGTTTCTGACCATCTTCCTGCCCTGCAAACTTCAAAGTGAACTTCTACCTAACTTGGGGAACCATGGTCAAAATAAGACTCCTTAGATTTTAATGCGCATGCGACTCACCAATACTGCCTCAGGGAGAATGCGACTTTAATGTGTATATTGACCCATTGGGATCATGTTATAATATAGGTTCTCTTTCAATGAGTCTGGGGTGGGGTCAAGGTTCTGCATTTCTAACATGCTCCCGGGCGAAGCCGTTAGCGCTGTCCCAAAGACTACACTGAGTAGCAAGACTAATAATTATCTTTTTAATCACAACAGCAGAAAGACCAAGTCTAGTCCCTCTAACAAGTAGCATTTGTGGGAAAAACAAACAACAACAAAACCTTTATACAGGAGGGCATTTGAATACATTTCACCATATCTGAAATGATGCCCTACATATTTTTTTCAAAGGCATTCTTTTCCCCTACAAGATGACTGGCAATTTTGTGTTCTAGCCACCCTCAGACATGAAAACACTTGGTTGCTTATCTTGTAAAATTTGCTTCGCTTGCTTGCTTGGGCATGTACGTAGTCAGTTTAGTCAAATACGTGTCAGTACATCTATGTGGATGGGGGAGCAGGTGCAAGCCCTTAACGTACTTTAAAAAAGTTTAACACTTAAGTCAGTCCACTGAGTTGATCCCGTGTGATCTTAGTGCCAAGCGTCTGAGTTAAAAGTTTTCCCTTTGAAGGCAGCAAATAGATGTCATACATTTGAAGCATTTGTTTATACTAAAAACGATGCTTGACTTTTTAAAGTTCTAAGACAGTTCACTGTACAACACCATTAAGCCTAGAGGGTGATATAAAGCTGCCCAAGTTGGTATTTGAGGTTTGATTTAATGGAGATTGGAATCTGTGATGCCACGACTGGCTTCGAATAAGGTACTGAAGTCCATGGGCTTAGGCTAGAAAAAGCAAAAGGAATTTATTTCCCTCTGCCCAGGGGGTCAGCAAAGAAATAACTTTGTGTTGGCACCTCTTTTTTAGTCAAATGTTCTATCAGGGTCATCCGTTTAGCAGCCTCGTTTTATTTTTTTAGGGGAACACTTTGAAGACTTCTTACAAGCAACATATTTAAATATTCGTTAAATGCTGGAATGAGTAAATTCCTAATCTCGAATATACCCTTTATATATAATATATGCATGTATTATATATCTGCACATATATATAATATATACATATATACACACATTCATATATATTTTCCCTTTTTAGAGTGTATATATATATATAATGTAAAATATATATATATATTTTATATATATTTATATGTACACTTGAGGGAAAATTTTGATCTCTTCCTGTCTGGAGTCCAAATGTTGAGTGTAGGGTGCCTAATTTTTTATTTGTTGGGTTTATCATTTCGCTTAGGACTCTATATTTTGAATCAAGTCTCTCCGAGGTGCTTAAGCAGCACTCCAGACACTAACTTGAACACTACTTCAAGCCTGTGTTTGCCCTGAGCCCTGGGACCCCCTCCAAGGCAATGCCCAGAGCGCATTATTGTTGCCGTCCGCTCTGATGAGGCGATCCCTCTGCAAACCACCGATTTGCTTAAAGCTTCCCTCGTAAGGAGCAGGATCTCATCTG